AGGCTTCTATCACCTGTAACCCCCGAGAGCAATGAGCTCCGTCCTCACTGCATAGAGTGCCTGCTTCAGGCCTGGGGGAGAGCATTGCAGGTGACATGGGGAAGGAATACCACCTTGATGTGGCTGCTCAGTGTCGTGGAGGGAAAGAGACTCCTGCGGTAGGTGGGGCCATGGGGCAGCAACCCCATCATTACAGCGCCACACACTTGACTGGGCAGTTTTCACATGGGGTGGGCTACAGCGAAAACGTTGGTCTTTTTTGTCTCTGTTAGGTGGTAAAACAAAATTCCCAGCTGCTCCAAGCTACTGCTACAACCACAAAGATCACACGTATGTGTAAGGCCTAAGGGCTGGAGGGGAGGCAAGGAAAACAAACAGTTGACCTGGCTAGATGGATCACATTTCCCTTCTTTTCTGCTGGGTGATAAGATGTGCAATTTGTTAAAAAATCATCTATGGGGACGGCTAGGTGGCACAGTAGTTGAGTGTCTGCCTTTGGCTTAGATCATGATCCCGGGGTCCTGGGATTGACTACTGCATTGGGCTCCCAGCAGGGAGCCTGCTTCTCCCTCTGCCTATGTCTCTGTCTCTCTGTGTCTCTCATGAATAAATAGATAAAATCTTAAAAAAAAAATTATCTAGGGCAGCCCCGGTGGCGCAGCGGTTTAGCGCGTCCTGCAGCCCAGGGCGTGATCCTGGAGACCCTGGATCCAGTCCCATGTCAGGCTCTCTGTATGGTGCCTGTTTCTCCCTCTGCCTCTCTCTCTGTCTCTATGAATAAATAAATAAAATCTTAAAAAAATTATCTAGAAATATTTTTCATATAAAAGAATGATTTTGGCCCTTCTAACAAAACAAAAATGCCTTTACCCAGGGTAAAACTCACATTCTTTGTCCACTAAAAACCAGTAAGAGTAGATTCAAAGAATAAGAGATCAAAGAGGGAAAAAAAAAATCACTAACTTGGCACGGTTCCAATCTCTGTGCGGTGTTGCAGATGTAAGATAGTAGAGATTGCAGCAGACAAGGTGTATGTAACACATCTGAGACCTTGCCACATGTGCACCCTCTGTGAGCCACTTGACCTCCATAAGCTGAGGCCCAGGGGCATACGGATTACACGAGATGTGTGAAGATACACTGCGTGTGGTCACCAAGCACTGTCAGGCCATGCTCATCACTGAGGCCCCAGTGCACAAGGGCATGCTTCTGCTGGAGCCTTTCCAGAAGACTATGAGCAGCATTAGGGGGCTCAAACCGTGACCTGTGAGATTTGGTCTTGGGAAGGTGGGACATGATGGTTATTTTTACCCACTGATTGTTCTCAGAGTGCTCTGTGCACACCTCTCCTGCAATGCTAATCAACTGGCTACTTCTACATTACCATTTCTCCACTAGACACTGTCACGTCTGTGTCCATATCCCCCCATTTTTGGCATCAGCTACCTTTCTTCCTTTTTGCTGCCCCTCATTCCCTCAAGCACTTTATACAATTTTGAAGTGCTCAGAAATGTTAGTCACGTCTTAGTGAAAAACAAGAGTCACAAATTCCAACACCCCAGAGAGCTAACAGACAAGCCCATGTCAAAAGAACGAGAACACAAGCCTGATGACCAATGGCCGCCGCTCCAAGCCTCAGTGGTGAGGTACAAAAGGGGGTGGTGGGGAGTGTGGTGAACTAGAAAGCATGGGCCTTATTTAAAGTCAGCCACTCTAGCTGACTGCTGCTGCTATCCAAATCCAGGGGATCAAACTTTCCCAGTTTCCAGAATAAGCCAGGAATCTGAAATTTTCATTTTCATTAACAATGTTGATTCACATGAAAGATGTGGGCCAATAAAGCACATTTGTGGGATGGGGTGCAGCCCACAGACCAGCAGGTTTTTGAACTTTGATCTAGGGGCAGAAGTGTGTGCAGAGGCTACAGCAGTCGAGCTTCATTAAGGACTCCTGACATGGTGTGAGGGGTAAAAGTGAATTCATTGCCAAGGAATCTAAGGAGGCAGAGGGGTCCCATCCAGCGGGTAGGCCAGGGGAGGCTCGGGAGCACAGTCGTATTTCAACTCAGATGGGAGGACAGCCTCCTTTTGCTCTAGCTGCTCAGTGCTTAGTGAAGACCAAACAGTTCCTCACACGCTCAGGCTGCCCTCCCTCCACAAGATGACCATCTCTGCCTCCGCTGCCCCTGCCTGGCTTCCTTCTCCGCAGAACCCTTGCCACCTGACACACTGCTACATGCTTGCTAACCCACGGTGCCTTGGCCCCCCCTTGCCGCACTGAACTCCCACCAGGACCTGCCTCCTCTGTTCCCTGCCGCCCCCCAAACCAGAGTGCTACCTGGCACATGCTGGGTCCTGATACACACACGCTGGATAAATGAATGTTCATCTCCCATGAATCTGTGACCTCTTGGTCCTGAACACTGTCCAGCAGCCCTTTGGTGGCATCTGGTAAGCCCTCTGCTCTACTTCCTACGTGGGCTAATGCAAACTTCACTTCTGATCACTCCTCTACTCTTACCTTCCCCATCTGCACTCGAGACTAGTACCCTTGACACTTAGAGAAAAAGATCCCCAGAAGATACCTGTCACCCTCTGGCTACAGACACCCTAGCTTCCTCTACAAGTAGGGGAAGCACTCCTCTCAGCTGGATACAGGATCCCCTCCCTATGCATCCATTCTCCCTCTCTATTGGCTCCTTTCTAGTAGTCTCTCTCTCTCTCTTTTTTTTTAATGTATTTAGAGAGTGAGTAAGCCCATGCGAGTACATACAGAGGAAGGAGCGGGGGAGAGGGAGGGCAGAAAGAATCCAAAGCAGATTTCAAACTGAGCATACTGCTATGCCTGGCACACAATAGTGTTCAATGATTTATGTTGAACGAGCATATGCCAAATAAAAAGATGGAGGTACCAGTTCTAGAAGCACTAACATAGAGGGGTACGAGAGCCCTGTAGTTCCTTAGTATGCCTTACTAACTATATGGCTCTGTTGGGTGACCACAAATCCTGGGACTGAGGAGGTTGGGAGGTCAGAGCCAGAGGAATGGAAGTACCAACCTCAGCTGGGTTTCTGATGGCGCTCTGGTACCAGGTAGCAGGGAAGCACCAGTGATTCTTTATTCATACCTGGCATACCTGTTTGAATGATGTTTGATAGAATGGTCTTTTTTTAAATCTATATCTTGGCATATGACAGAGGCAACAGGGACTCAGAATCCATTCTACTGCTTTCTGTGAGCATTCCCATATTACAGAGGTCCACAGCTAAAACGTGCCACTTCCAAACTCCTTTGTAGGTTGGATTCTGGATGCGAATTTGATTCCATATATAAGCTGCATGAGTGACCCTGGAGAAAGGACTCTATCCATATTCTTATCTTTATGGCATGTTTATGAAAACTTAGGGATGGTAGAAAACTAGAAGGAATAACTAATACGTTGATAACAGAATCAGGGTTCAAAAAGATCTCAACAGGTCAGAGGATTGCAATCCAAAAGTTTACCAGGGTCCAAGTTCTACACTAGGGACCAAGTGACCAAGTGCACAAGAATCGTCCTGAGTGAGGAAGGGCTCCACCATTATCTTAACAAAAAAAAATTCAGATTCTAAACTGAATTTAGGACAAATAGTGTGACATGGCTCAAAAGGGCTTAATACAACTTAGAGTTCATCACCAGGAGTAGGGTTTTTAGGAGTGAGGGAAGCTATGGTCTCAACTAATTCTACACTTGTTAAAACTGCACTTGTAAACCAGTGCCATCAGTTCTGGGCACAAGGCACAGCTTTTCCAGATGACAACACAAAGGATTTAAAACCACGATTATGAGGAATAGTGGTAAGGAGCCAGGAATATTTCCTGGAGAATGGGGAGATGGGACACGATAACTACGTGCCGTTGTCTGGAATTCCTCAACAGGGGACAAGAAGCTCCGCCTTGCTTTGTAGAGTCCCAGAGGACAACGCTACAGGAGCAATTACAGCCAACTGGAGGGAGGCCGACGGAGGCTCAGTCTAAGAAGACTTGATGGTGGCTCTGCCAGGAAAGAAGGGCTCAGGGTGGGAGGGGGCCTTGATGCAGAGGTCTCTAGCTGTGTGGGGAGAATGCAGACAGGGGAGGAAGATCCTGAGCAAGATGCCCTGACTTGGACTGGATTATCCTTCTGGTTTGGCGATTTGGTGAGCCCAGTTCTCACTGCCCCGGCCAACTCTGCCTGGAGCACAGTCAGACTATAGGCCAAGAGCTGATATCCTATTGAGAAAGTGGGGCTACTGGCAGCTCCTGTGAGAGCCCTGCTGGTGAGCCTTGTGTGTGTATTTCATCACAACTCATGCCCCCTGTGGGAAGACTCTGGTCTGGTCTGGGAAGACTCTCTTCTGCCCAGTGTCCAACAGAGCACCTTGCACAAAGCAGGAACTCAAAATCCAAGTTTTAGTCTAATTTTAGGATTTTTCTTCCAGCTGGACTCATAATACGACTTGTACTGCATAATGCCACTCAGGCTACACGAACAATTTTCTTTCAGTGCCAACCACATATCAGGAACACCTGCGGAGGCCCACAGCTACAAATGCACGGGTTTCCCCACAGCCTGACGGCACCAGAGGTCTTGGCAACTGGTCCCCTGGACCCTTAGCTCCCATGCACTTCTAGCCAGGGCTGGGCTCGAGGACCCCTGGCTCATCCCATAAGGAAATGAAGACTTTTTAAGTATACACCAGCTAACACAACAGTCCCCAATCTTTCCTGAAGAGGATTTATTTCTTCTTTACTCTCCTTAATGCTGAAAGTGCCGAATATCTTTCTTTCCCAAGTGGAAAACTATCAGAATCCTACCTTATCTACCCTCTTGGGATAATATTTAAGTACAATGCCACAAAGTGAAGAGCACTTGGATTAATGTCCTTGGCTATACAGAAACAGCATAAGACTGTGTCTACACACGTAATGAGAATAAATGACATTTTTACCTTCTAAAGTTACCTCAAATGCCCTCCGTACCTGGACCAAGCAGTGGTGACCGACTCAGCTGGGTGCTGGCCTGGTGTGGCGGTGGTGTCTCGACCAGGTCTGTGCTGCTGCTCGTGGTGGTGGTGGTGGTGGTGGCGGCGGCTGTGGTGCTGCTCTGCAGGCCTGGATTGTTTCTATCCCACATGTTTACAGTTTTATTGTTGTAGTTGCTTGGGTCACCCCAAGCTGAGGTACCATCATCAATTTCCATTTTGCGTCGAATGGATGGTGGAGAAGGTTCCTCCCAGCCTGTGGCCTCACTGCTGTCCTTTTGTTTGACAGGGACTGGCCCCCCAATCCACCCAGTTCCTGTCTGTTTAACGGAAGCAGCTCCTCCCCAGTTACTCACATTGTTGTCTTGGGGTTTACCTGCCCAGTTCTGTTGGGGGCCAGGTTTTAAAGACTCTCCCCAGTTTGTCCCTGGATTCACCTTTGCATTTGTGCCATTACCCCAGCCACTGGTCCCAGACCTGGTGGCATCATTCCAACCAGAACCTGACCGATTACTGTCAGCATCCCATCCAGAACCATTTTTTTTCCCATCCCCCAAGTGTCCGAGGACAGAAGATGAATCTGCCCAATCTCCCCCTCCTGCACTCCAGGCTGGATTAGATTTTTGTCCGTCTCCCCAGTTCTGAGATTTGGGTTTCTGAGGCTCCCCCCAGGTGGGCGACTTATCCTCCTGATTTACGGTCCCACTCCAAGCATGGCCACTCTTGGAGGCAGCAGCAGCATTATTAACAGCAGTAGAGCTTATCGAGTCCCCCCAAACCCCTGGGCCATTTGGCGCTTTGTTGCTGCTGTCTCCCCAGCCTGTGTTTGCTGGCCCAGCAGCAGGCGGTGCGCTGGCCCACCCGGACACTGAAGAGGTATTTGTACTGTTCACGATGGACCCATCACTCTTCCCCCCTGAGTTTGAAGGCTGAGTAGCGGCACAGCCCCAGGCCTCTGTCCCATTGTCATTTTTTCTCTCAGACCTAGGGGACTCTTCAAATTCCCAGGCAGTGTTTTGTTTTACTGGAGTCTGTCCCCAACCAGTATTAGACAGAACTCTTGGGTCAAGATCGTTCCTTGGCAATTGGATGTGCCCCTGGTCTATCATCCCTTTATCTCGCCTTCGGCCTTCTGCTCCTTCCCTCCCGGAGCTTCCTTCGTTGTGACTGCCAGAACCGTCACTACTTCCCTCACTCGCTGTTGTTCCAGAAGATGCAGCTTTGGCCCAAGAGTTCATGTGTTCGCTACCAGGCTGCACGGCAGGATTCTGGCTGCTAACACTCGGACTGTCCCACCCTGTTGATCCTTTCCCATTGATGTCACTGTTGGAATGCTGGTTTGGGGGCTTGCCCCATTCCCCATTCACACCGTTAGAGGTGCTCCGGCTGGGGTGGCCCCAAGCCCCCGAATGGATATGACTAACGCTGCTGTTGCTGCCACTGCCCCGTCCCCAGGCAAGGAGTCCGGGACCAGCAGGAGGGCCGGAGTCCCAGGCATTTCCTCCACTTCCTTCCTTCTGCACAGCACTGCTGGATCCGTTTTGTTTAGCACTCAATGCTGAGTTCACAGTGTCTCCATTCCCCTGATTGAACCCAGAATTGCTACTTCCTGTGGCAGGGTTACCTGGGGACAGTCCCCACACAGAGCTGCTGATTCCTTCACCACTGCTCCCACTGACTTGAGAAACTGATGATCCATTAGCACCAGGAAGGCCCTGCAGGTGGGGCGGGATGATGGCCCCCATACCAACAGCCATGCCCCAGTTTGGCAGTCCGTTTGCCTGCATTGCATTGACAGGGTTTGGTGAAGAGTTCATGGGGTTAGTGTTATTTGGTCCATCAGTGTTAAGGTTCTGAGGTTGTACGCTGAAAGACACATTCTGAGAAGTGGACGTTTGTGGTTCTGTGCTCTCTTGCGGCAGCAAGTTTCCCCAAGCACCTAAAGTGCCTGTTGGGTTCCCATTCTGGTTGCCCGTATTTTGACCTATGGCACTGACCGGACTACAAATACTGGAAGGGTTGCCTGTTGCCACAGTTCCTTCGTGTCCAAGTACAGGCCAGGCAGCTGGGTTGGCATTGGGGTTAAGGTTAAGATTAATGCCAGTATTGGAGTTGGAAGCACCCCAGCAACTCTGACTTCTCCCATCTCCAATCATGTTGTCCATTTTTCCATCCCCGGCACCGAGAGAGCAGTGAGCGGGGCCGGAGCTGGAGCCTGTGGCTACGCCCCACACTCTGGCTCCATTGCCATTACTGCTGGCGCCCCCCGCTCCAAGGGCACTCTGATTAGAAGGGCTTTGGACGAGTGCACCGTTGGTGCCATTATTGCCATTTGTCTTCTTGGTATGTCCAGTGAAGGTGCCCTGGGCACTCCCTGTAGCCATGCTACTGTTCTCTGAGCCACAGTTGGAGGCAGAGTCAGTGTCTGTAGTACATTCTGAGGCAGATTCAGTCTCTGCTCCTGTGATGGAAGGCCACGCCTCCTTGTCAGTCCTGTCTATTATCACTTTATCCCAGCTGCTGCTGGCTTCACCTCTGTACGTGGGCTGCTGTCCCCAGTGGGAACTTTCATAGTGATCTGCCAATCCACCGTGACCGAGATCTGAAAAACATGAAACACATTCAGAATCAGATCTTCCTCCCACTTGTCAATGAATCTGCTGTGAACTAGTCTTTGGGGGGGAAGGCTCTCTTTATTTCCAGTTTCAATGTGGAATGACAAATGATAAAAAAGGACTTAAGAAAAAAGTTACCTGCCTTCATAATACGTTCCCGTTTAAAAAAGAGCTAATCTGGGATCCCTCGGTGGCTCGGGGGTTTAGCGCCTGCCTTCGGCCCAGGGCACGATCCTGGAGTCCCAGGATTGAGTTCCACATCAGGCTTCCTGCATGGACCCTGCTTCTTCCTCTGCCTGTGTCTCTGCCTCTGTGTGTGTGTGTGTGTGTGTGTGTGTGTGTGTGTGTGTGTATGTGTCTCTCACGAATAAATAAAATCTTTTTTAAAAAGAAAGAGCTAATGTTTCTAAAGTTATATTCATCCTCACCACTACACCACACTATTATCCCTTTTGAGGAGACTCACAGCATACATGAGCACATGAGCATCTCTAAGAGCATCTGGAGGAAAGGAAGCTGTGTAATTGGAATGCAGCAGGCTGGAAATTTATGTGACTGTGCCACACCTGAACATACTCCGGCTGTGGTGACAACATGTTCACGTGGGTCTGTCAATACAGTTTATAGTTCTCTTCAAGACCTCCAACTGGGGCTACACGGCTCATTTAGTGGGAAAAAACTGTAAATACCGTGCAGAACCATATAATAGAACCAATATTTTGGGGGTGAGGGACAGAGGAAGAGAGAGAAGAGGCATTAGAGAGTGCTATCTTGGGCAGCCCCGGTGGCTCAGCGGTTTAGAGCCGCCTTCAGCCCAGGGTATGACCCTGGAGAACTGGGATCATGTCCTGCATTGGGCTCCCTGCATGGAGCCTGCTTCTCCCTCTGCTCTCTCTCTGTGTCTCTGGTGAATAAATAAATAAAATCTTTAAAAAAAAAAAGTGCTATCTTATGTTATCAAGAATATGGACGGTTAGAAACAGTTAATTACATTTATATTACTTATCTGTTTTTACCAGCAACTACAGTTTACCATTATTAAACACAAGTAAGAACTCTCTGAGAATCTTCTCCGCTTGTTCTCCATCTCCTTGAATCATATAGTCTTTGTACTGGAGACCCCAAAATATATATTGCACTATATTCCATTCTAGCATTCATTTTGTTTCACCCTTATGATCCTTTTATAGAATCCAGTATTTGGCATCTGCATTTTATTTCCTAGGATTTCTAGTTTTTTGACTACTTCTAACATTGGAATCCAACTTATACTCCAGTGAATTTTCCAACAGACTCTATCTGAGGTATGGATCACTCAAAACCTAGTAAAAGTAATACAGAAAGATTAATTTAATCTATGCATACAACAAACTCACACAGCTTAGAAATCCCTGATGGTTTTTTCAAACAGCAAGATGTACAGATGACAGCAGTAAAATATTTCTTCTCTTTTAGAACTTTTTCTTCAAATTTTTAATAAGAAAAATCTTATTCCCAGGCAGTAGAACTGGGTTTCCCCACAGAAAATTCTCTTAAAGTTTAATGGAGCTAAAAGGAAAATGGGAAGTGTGTAAGAAATGATCACTATTGCTATAAAGAATGTCCTAGAGACAACTTCAACCTTAAAAAAAAAAAAAGCAAACAGTTTTTGTTGTCAAATTTATTTTTTTTAAGATTTTATTTATTTATTCATAGAGACACAGAGAGAGAGAGAGAGAGAGAGAGAGAGAGAGAGAGAGAGAGAGGGAGGCAGAGAGACAGGCAGAGGGAGAAGCAGGCTCCACGCAGGGAGCCCGATGTGGGACTCGATCCCCAGTCTCCAGGATCACACCCCGGGCTGCAGGCGGTGCTAAACTGCTGCACCACCGGGGCTGCCCTTGTTGTTGGATTTAAAAGAGATGTAATGAGTTCTGAATTTGGCTCTCTGTGTGCAGCAATATGATGAAAAGGCAAGCTACTGAGAGATAAAATATTTGCAAATGACATATCTGACAAGGGGTTAATATTCAAAATATATGCAGAGCTGGTACAACTCAACATCAAGAAACCCCAATAATCTTTTTTTTTTTTTTTTAAGATTTTATTTATTTGAAAGAAAGAGAGTACGAGTGGTGGGGAAGTGCAGAGGGGAGAGAGAGAGAGAAGCAGACCTCCACTGAGCAAGGAGCCCAATGTGGGGCTTGATCCTGGGGCCTGGAGATTATGACCTGAGCTAAAGGCAGACACTTAACCAACTGTGCCGCCCAGGTGCCCCGAAACTCAAATAATCAGATTAAAAAATGGGCAGAGGAGGGGTGCTTGGGTGGCTCAGTTGATTAAGTGACTCTTGATTTCAGTGCCAGTCATGAGCTAAGGGTCATGAGATCAAGCAGTGCGATAGGCTCGTGCTCAGCATGGAGTCTGCTTGAGATTCTCTTTCTCTCTCCTTCCCCCACTAAAATAAAATAAAATCTTTGAAAAAAAAAAAAAAAGGGGCAGAGGACCTGAACATTTTTTCCAAAGAAGACACATAGATGGCCAACCAACACATGAAGAGATATTCAACATTACTTATCATCAGGGAAATGAAAAGTCCAAACCACAATGAGACATCACCTTATACCAATCAAAAAGACAAGATACAACAATTCACATACATTGTTGAGTCAGAGTGCGAACTGGTGTAGCCACTCTGGAAAGCAGTATGGAGGTTCCTTAAAAAAACTAAAAATAGAAGTACCATACAATCTACTAATTCTACTTCTGGATATTTACCCTAAGAAAATGAAAACACTAATTCCAAAAACAAAAACAAACAAACAAACAAACAAAAAAAAAAGCAGATGAACTCCTACGTTTACCACAGCATTATTCATGACAGCTAAAATATGGAAGTAATCCAAGTGTCCATTAACAGGTGAATGGGCAAAGATATATATACACACACATATATACATAATGGAATATTTATTACTCAGCCATAAGAAAGGATGGGTTCTTGGGGCACTTGGGCAGCTGAGTCGGTTAAGTGTTTGCTCAAGTCATGATCCCAGGATGCTAGGACTGAGCCCCAAATCAGGTTCTCTGCTCAGCATGGAGTCTGCTTCTCCCTCTGCCCCTCTCCCTGCTCATGCTTGCTTTCTCTTTCTCTCTCTGAAATGAATAAATAAAATGTTATAAAAAAAAAAAAAGAAAGAAAGGATAGGATCTTGCCATTCCTAGAAACATGGAAGGACCTAGAGGGTCTTATGCTAAATGAAGTAAGTTAAATGAAATGTGTCAGAGACAGATACTGTATGAATTCACTTACATATGGAATCTAAAAAGCAAATGAATAAGCAAACTAACAACAAAAAGACAGTAATAGACTCAAATAGACTCATAAATACAGAGAACTGGTAGTTGCCAGAGGGGAGGGGGTTGGAGGATGGATAAAATCTGTGAAAGGGATTAAGAGGTCCGAATGAAAGAAGTCAGAGATGAAAGGTGCAGCATTAAATCACATTAATTTTGAAGTAGGTACTTCCATGTGAAACGACAAAGGAAAAACAAAGCCAGGCAACACAAAACTTTAGGATCTAATTTTTTGCTGCCAAATACTAGGGCTGGCTCTGCAACCCTGGTTTATAGCAATTCCCCCCAATGGTTTTTCATGTGCTATAAAAACTAGCTTTTGTAATAACTACTTTGTTTTTTTAATGTTTATTTTATTTATTTATGAGAGACACAGAGAGTGAGGCAGAGACATAGGCAGAGGGAGAAGCAGGCTCTTTGCAAGGAGCCTGAAGCGGGACTTGATCCCCAATCCCGGGATCACACCCTGAGCAAAAGGCAGATGCCCAACCGCTGAGCCACCCAGGCAGCCCTGTAATAACTACTTTAAAGAGATAAATGAGCCACTCACTTATTTAATGCAGAAAATAAGACCAAGTTAAAAAAAACAGAGATTATCGCTTATTATCAGCACATCTCCCCCAGTTTGTTCTCCTATCAGTCTTTTTTTTTTTTTTTTTTCCTCCTATCAGTCTTGATTCCCTCAAGGATAGGATACACCAGGACTAGGACAGTACTCACTGCAACCCACATGCAGACAGCAGGAGGCAACCAACCTGGCTTACCAATGCATTCTTTCCCAGACCTGGAATACCTTTTGAATACATAATATTTTTTTCTATCCTATGAATAGGTCACAATGCAAAAGATTCAGCTTTTTCTTAATAGTCTAGAGGGTTTGTGTGGAATGCCTTTTGTCTACAGCTCAGCCCCCAATCTGCTGGACTCACACTCACAGTTATGTGTCAGGTTTAAAAAATGTGTTTGCATCCTTGATGGATAAGAAAGATAGCATCCCAAGTCAGTGGAGAAAGGAAGGACCAGCTAATAAATACTGTTGGGGCAGGTGGAAAAAATAAGATCCCTGCCTTCGATCATATAGAAAAATCAGCTCTAGATGGATTAAAGACTAATTACGAAAAGCAAAACTTTTTAAAGCTCAATAAGGAAGTACAGGAGGCAACTTCTATGACCTGGGACACTCGCCTTCCTTAAGAGCTGATAAATTTGACTCTTAATATTAAAAACATCTGTATGGCAGCAGATACCACATAAAGGAAGCTAAAATATTAAGCCACAGACAGGAAGAAGAGAGAACAGAATAAAGGATAAAGAATGCCTAACTCAATTAGAAAAAGACCAATAATCCAAAAAAGGAGGAAAAATGACAGGAAGAGGCAATCCAGAGAAGAGGACCCCCTCAACAGCCACCAACACATGAAAAAGTAACCGATCTCATCGGTAACCAGGAAACATACTTAAACACTGCAAGACATCATTTCACACATAACATAAGGATTGATTCCTTTTGGGGGAGATGAGAATGGGATGGAGCAACATCTGTACCATTTCTAAAATAGAGTTCTAAAGCAAATATGGCAAAAGATTATGTTACAACTGTATTCTGGACACAGTTATATTATTTTCTGTGTACTTTTATCTTGAAAATATTTCA